CAAATAATCAAACAAGGGATCTGATTTCATAAACGAAGCTGTAGGCCAGAGTACTTATTTATGATAAGAACATCATTCTGATGTAATTACTTTCAGGAGAGAACAAACAATGAGCTCAGAGCAGTGAGAGATGCTGAGAAAACAACAGGTGATAACTTCTGCAGGTCAGATGATTGCTCTTCCTGCCCACATGCCTCACCCCTTCTACTCTGGGGTAATCTCCCTCCTGGTCCCTCATGGCTTCTGTGCTAACTTCCTATTTGCACTGAATATATTAAAATGTAACTTTACCTTGCCCTTTTCATGTCTGCTGCTCTAAGTTCTCTGATTCTTGAAGCCAATTACATGCCTTGGCATTATGACTTTGGCACCTAATGATGACGGAGACACCGTAAATGTCGGGGCACTGGATTCAGTATAGAACATATCATAAGTTTTCAATAACATTTGGTAAATCAAGTGATGCTGCTGTAGAAATCAAAAGGTAGGTCAGCTCTGTGGCCTGATGATGAAGGGAGCCATATCCCACATGACTAAGTAGTCTGAATTCTAACCCAGGTGGCTTGAAAAAACATGGCAGACAAATGTGCATCTGTGCCCCAAAACCCAACAGGATGGAGAAATGAAGAAGGGGTGGTGGCATGACCACACCCCATTGGGAGGTGTTTTCTCCTCTCCTCTTTTTCTCTGGCAAGTACACACACTGTCAGGGAAAAAAATAAGATTTTTCAAAAAACAAAAGAGTAAAGGTCTTATCCTTCCAAGATTTTCACAGTTAATTCTTGTTCTTCCAAGATTTTCACGTTAATGTATAAAGAATCACCTGGAGAGGTTGTTTAAAATGAATTCTCTTGTTGATCACCTTGATGTGTTAATTACACATTGTATTTGTGTATTGAAAAACCACACTGTACCCCATAAGTGTGTCCAACTATGGAATATCAATTAGAAGTTATTTTTTAGGGGAACCAGCAAATGGCATGATGGTTATATCACTGGACTTTCATGTAGTCCACTGAAGTTCAAGTCCCAGGTATGGTAGTTTAAAACTCACACTGGGTGTGTGTGTGTGCATGCCTAAAATCCTGAGAGGAGAATGAAAGAGGAGGCATTGCAGCATGGCCATCCTCCATGGGGGGGTGGTGGTTTCTCTCTTTCTGTCTCTCTCTGTCTCTTTGGTTTGGTTGTTATGGCATTGGACTCCCATATGACCATCCACAGTTCAAGTCCAGGACGCATCAGATTGAAAATCATGCCAGGAACATGTGTGTGTATGTCCAAAATATGACTGAAGCTTCCATTTAGCATTAACTTTCTGCTTTTGTTCTTGCTCCAGCAGGTCTCAATGCTCCCCTTTTCCTCTGAGAGCCTCCTAAATCCTGATTAATACCTAGTTAACTACCATTTTGTATTGTTTCCTCTTCCCACCTGCATCGCCCTCAGCAGAACAGCCAATAGGGCAACACCTGGGTTTTTCTGTATAGTTCGTCCCTCATTTCCTTAAGTGTATAAACAGACATTTCTTCCTCTAAGGGTAGAGAGAATGATACTGCCTATTTTCTTACGGTGAAGTCATATATTGGCAAAATGTGCACCCTCATACTAACACATGATTGGCAACACAGGATATTTCTGATGACCTTTAGTTGCAAGACACTCAGGCTGTGGGCAACCAAGACAGTCCCTGTACTCACAGACTTTAATGGAGAAGGCAGTTGGATAAACACTGACTATGTTATAGAAAAAGATATGATTTGAGAAGTACAAAGGGCTAAAGAGGCACCTAATCTAACCTCATGCAGTATGTGATGGGCGTGGGAGGGGCTACTCCATTAATGTTTGCTGAACTGAATCCGGTGCTTGCCCTTCACTTCCTTGGATTTTATCATTGATTCTTAGAGGAGATTTATGAGTCATTCTTGGCTCTCGATATTAATAACCGTGTCTGTGGTTTATTAGCTTCTGGATATATTTAGATAAGAGGGAGAGGGTTGCAAAATCTTTAATAAACAGGCAGAGCTCTTGGCTATAAAGTGAGTACTTCGAGAAATGATGCGTCAAATACATTCAATTTAATGAATATTTATGGACCACCTACTATTATAGAGGTATTCAAGTAAATGCAAAAATGAAGTCAATAATCCTTGTTTTCTCAGGGTGTAGGAGCGAGAGTGTGTGTATATGAGACAGAGTGGGCCGGAAACAGGAAAAGATGAAGGAAGAACTAGAGAAGAACAAGTCTAAGTATGTGCACAAATAATCAAACAAGGGATCTGATTTCATAAACGAAGCTGTAGGCCAGAGTACTTATTTATGATAAGAACATCATTCTGATGTAATTACTTTCAGGAGAGAACAAACAATGAGCTCAGAGCAGTGAGAGATGCTGAGAAAACAACAGGTGATAACTTCTGCAGGTCAGATGATTGCTCTTCCTGCCCACATGCCTCACCCCTTCTACTCTGGGGTAATCTCCCTCCTGGTCCCTCATGGCTTCTGTGCTAACTTCCTATTTGCACTGAATATATTAAAATGTAACTTTACCTTGCCCTTTTCATGTCTGCTGCTCTAAGTTCTCTGATTCTTGAAGCCAATTACATGCCTTGGCATTATGACTTTGGCACCTAATGATGACGGAGACACCGTAAATGTCGGGGCACTGGATTCAGTATAGAACATATCATAAGTTTTCAATAACATTTGGTAAATCAAGTGATGCTGCTGTAGAAATCAAAAGGTAGGTCAGCTCTGTGGCCTGATGATGAAGGGAGCCATATCCCACATGACTAAGTAGTCTGAATTCTAACCCAGGTGGCTTGAAAAAACATGGCAGACAAATGTGCATCTGTGCCCCAAAACCCAACAGGATGGAGAAATGAAGAAGGGGTGGTGGCATGACCACACCCCATTGGGAGGTGTTTTCTCCTCTCCTCTTTTTCTCTGGCAAGTACACACACTGTCAGGGGAAAAAATAAGATTTTTCAAAAAACAAAAGAGTAAAGGTCTTATCCTTCCAAGATTTTCACAGTTAATTCTTGTTCTTCCAAGATTTTCACGTTAATGTATAAAGAATCACCTGGAGAGGTTGTTTAAAATGAATTCTCTTGTTGATCACCTTGATGTGTTAATTACACATTGTATTTGTGTATTGAAAAACCACACTGTACCCCATAAGTGTGTCCAACTATTGTATATCAATTAAAAGTTATTTTTTAGGGGAACCAGCACATGGCATGATGGTTATATCACTGGACTTTCATGTAGTCCACTGAAGTTCAAGTCCCAGGTATGGTAGTTTAAAACTCACACTGGGTGTGTGTGTGTGCATGCCTAAAATCCTGAGAGGAGAATGAAAGAGGAGGCATTGCAGCATGGCCATCCTCCATGGGGGGGTGGTGGTTTCTCTCTTTCTGTCTCTCTCTGTCTCTTTGGTTTGGTTGTTATGGCATTGGACTCCCATATGACCATCCACAGTTCAAGTCCAGGACGCATCAGATTGAAAATCATGCCAGGAACATGTGTGTGTATGTCCAAAATATCTAGAGAAGAATGGAGAAGAAGGGATTGTGGTGTGGTCATCCACTTTGGGGAGTGATTTCTTACTTTTCCTCTCTCTGTCTTTCTCTGTTGAGTGCACACACCCTATGGTAAAAACCTAAATTTTAAAAAATATGTATTTTTCAACAATAAAGACTCCCCCACACTCAAAATTGTTTGATTCAGAAAACCAGAGTTGGGAATCTTTAAGCAAGCTTCCCTAGTTACTCTGACAGTCCCTATGCCATACTTTGAGAAACTCTGCTCTCACTGTAAAACTTCCTAACAAGGTGATATTTCTCTTTCGACTGATTGTACATGCTCATCTTAAAGCCCAGATGAAAAGAATTTATGTACTCTGTATCATTTGTCAACCCATGAAGTTCTCCTTTCTGAATGCTAGGTAATAACATAGCTCTTTGGATAGAAATGGGTTTTTTTTCTAGACATTATCAGATAGTCCATTCCTGACTAGCATATTATCTCAGTCCATGAAGCTAAGTACAACATGCAAACCGAGGATAACATCAAGACTTATGACTTATGCCTCGTAAACTCTGCACAGACCTAGAAAGCAGCCTGTGGTTAGTAGAGTTTTAAACAAATACCATTAATTTAGAAGCATTAAAGAATCATTAAAGAAGAATAATTTCTTAGGTAACTCCAAGACCAAATTTTCTAACTATCATGTTAAACAGAAAACCTAGAATGCCTAGGAATTGTGGGAAGCATCACTCAAAATGTCAGTAAATCAATACAGGCTAGAGTCCTAAACAAAACAAATCTTCACTAAATTCCATTGTGATTTCAGAATTAATACAAATATATCATCACAGAAAAATACACTGTCAAGAGGATTGCAGTGAGTTACAGACCTCAGTCTCTAAGCTGCAGGAGTTTGCCTCTGGCAGCCATATCAGAGTTCAGGTAATTAACAGAGTCTGCCTTGCAACAGGATAGTGCTTTGCAGACTGTTTGATATTCTGTCAGCTTCTCACTCAGACCCCAGTAACCCTTTGAAATATGCTGAACTGAAGCAGTCAGCCCTCAGGGGGATCATTCAATGAGTAAGAGAGGGAGAGAAATCACAGTTTGTAACTGAGATCATTTCATGGGCAGTTTGCCAGGTATTTGGAAAACTATCATATAAAGGTCTCTTAATATGAGGCACTTATGAAATGCAATGCTATGAATCTGTAAAAGCACTTTAAAAGTGATTTAAGAGGACACTTCATATTATTTCTTAAGTCCTACTGTCTTAAGAATTAATTCTATCTATTTCAATGTTGGAATCTAGGAGGTAGGATGACAATACTATTAGATTTTAGCAGTAACAGAAAGTATTCTTTAGGATGAAAGATCAGGACCTTTCCTGCATATAGTCATTAAAATCACCCCAGATATCAGGTCAAGTTCATGGTCATCTCTGTCCAGACCCTGATGAGAACACAGGCAACACTTACCATGCACAGGCAGTGCCTCTGAAATAGCTGGCAAGACTGACAAACCGTGATTTGACAACATCTTGGGTAGGAAAGAGAAAATATTTTAACATTATTTTAAAATGACCAGAATTGGAATGACATACAGACATCCTAGCAGTAACTTGAAAACAGTTACTTACAAGCTGTAGTTATCACCAATGAGCATGTGAAGACCCCGGCTACTATTCCTCCCATAAACCATCTGAAACAACAAGATTGCTCAGGTTTAGCATATTAATAATGCATTTCCAGTATGAGACTTAATATAAACTTACAATTTCAAAAACTATAAAAATGCAATATCAAAAATCTCAAGGTATTGGCGAAAGGATAGGTATATCAATTAATAGAATAGTCCAGAAATAGAACCATCTGATATAGTAAATTGAGTTTAACAGAGCTACAAATGCAATCCAAAGGAAAAAAACATAGTCTTTTTAACAAATATTGTTGGAACAATGGGATATTCATGTGCAAAAAAGTGAACCTCTACATATACATCACACCTTACACAAAATTTTACTCAAAATGGACTGTAGACAAAAACACAAATCAGAAAATAAAATTAAAAAAAAATCCTAGAGAAAATAAAAGGAGAAAATTTGTGTGGCCTTGTACTTGACGGTGAGTTTTTAAATACACCAAATGCACAATCCATAAAAGAAAAAACTAATTGAACTTCATTAAATTAAAAAACTTTGTACTATGAAATATGTCGCTGAGAGAATAAAACATCAAGGTACAGTCTGTGAATAAACTAACTGTAAGTCACATATCTAATAAAGGACTTCTATCCAGAGCTCTCAAAACTCAACAATAGGAAAACGCAATCCTCCTTAAAAGTGAGCAAAAGATCTGAAAAGACACCTTCCAAAAGAAGACATACAGACAGCCAATAAGTATAAGAACAGATGTTCAACACCGTTTGTCTTCACGATAATGCAAACCAAAACAGGGAAATATTACTGCTCACCCATTACGCATTCTAAAATGGCTGAAAATCAAAAAGATGACAATACCAAATGTCAGAAAGTAGAGCAACAGTAACTGCCATTCATTGCTGGAATGAATGAAAATGTTGCACACTTTGAAAGATTGCTTGCCATTTTCTTACAAAGTTAAACATAGATATACAACCCAGCTCTGGCACTCTTGGTATTTACCTTACTGAGTGAAAATTCTATGTCTATACAGAAACTTACACATGATTATTTATAGAGGCTTTATTCAAAATTTTCAAAAACTGGGAACAACCAAGATATCCTTCAATAGGTGAATGGGGAAACATCCTTTTTCCCTTTCCCTGTCTATATTCAGCAATTAAAAAGGAAAAGGAATGAGCTAATTGTTAGAATGGCACATTTTCTGTTGATGCAGATGAATAACTATTCTTATAAAAAGAAAAAGTCTTAGTAGGGGCAAATTTTATATATATATATTAATCATACATGACCAAAATACTCTGTGGGAGAAAGAATCCATTCTGGCAGAGAAAAGAATGAAGGGAAGAAAGAGTGGTGGAAACCTTGTAGCCCATATGGAGGAAAATTCAACCTGAAATCCAAGCTCATATTGCAACGCTCTTTCCACTTTCCACTCTTTTTTGTAATGGTTATGTCTAAACTTTGTAAAAAGAAATTAGGAAAAAAAAGAGAGAGGGTCTGAATTCATGCAACAACATACAGTACATTTTGCATAATTGTGTCCCTTCCCAAACTCAAGTTGGGGCATCACTGTTACCGCAAATCTGAACTTCACTTGAGCTTCTTGGTTTTCCCTTAATGTTCTTCTCCTTTTCTAGAATCCCATCCAGGCTGCCACATCATATTTAGTTATCCTATCTCCTTATATTTGTTTGGGTTGTGCCAATTGTTCAGACTCACCTTGGTTCTTATGACCTTGACAGTTTTGAGGAGTGCTGCTTAGCAAGGGGGTTGGATGTCCATCAATTTGGATTTTTCTGCTATTGTTCTCATGGTTAGACTGGGATTTGGAAGACTAAGAGGTGTCTTTCTCACTGCATTGATCAAGGGTACACAAAATCCACTTAGCTTGTCAATGTCAATGTTGCCCTGAGGCAGTGTTTGCCCAGTTTTCCCATTGCAAAGTTCCCTTTTCCCACTTTTCCACACTCTCTGATTTTTGGAAGCAAGTTTTTATAGATATAGCTTATATTCAAGGGACAGAGGGTTAAGCTCCACCTCGTAAGGGATGTATCTATATAAACTAACCTGAGGAGAATTTCATGTACAGTCCTGTGAAATAACAGAAAGGAAATCATACTGAACTTGGAAGTTTGAAAAACACGAAGTTAAATAGAGTTAAACATATTTCTCTACTCCATTATGTCACTGAGCCTTTATTACACTCATGTGAATTATGACCCTCTAACTTAGAATATATAATGCAGGATTTTGCTAATTTATTTTTAACCATAGGACTTTCCCCCTTTTGTTCTTTTGGACCCATTGTGATCCAGAAATGATTTTCCAACTTCCTGATTATCTGGGAAGCAGTTTTAAAATACCACACCTTGCTACATCCAAAGTAGTAAATCCAGAGATGGGATCTCAGACTTCATATTTAAAAAGCAACTTCCCCAAGTGATGTTGAGGTATTTGACCCTCAAGATATGGGACTTAAAAGCAAGTAGCATGTGTTGAGCAGAGTTTCAGGCTCATAACAACTCTCAGTCTATACTATTCATCTTTGATCCAGTAAATACCATTGATCCAATACAATGAGCCCCTGCCACAGAGGGTCTAGAAGTGATGGAGACACACAATGTCTCTGCCCCCAGGTAGCTCACATTCTGGCAGGGAGAGCTAAAACATAAGCATTTAGATATGTGAACATATAATGGGTCAGGCAGTGATCAGTGTGCTGAAGAAAAGTCAAGCAAAGTCAGTGTGACAGAGAGTGGCATGACTTTTTTATATGGTTATCAAGGAAGGACTTTCTGACGATGTGACATCTAAACAGATTGCAGAAAGAAGGAAGGTCCTATGTTAGGAGGCTGGCGGGAGAAGACTTGTACTAGGCAGAGTCAACGATAAGTATAAAGGCCCTGAGGCATGTGTGGGCTTAAGTCTGAAGGGTTTTGATCACTGCCTTGGAAACACAGGCAAGGAAAAGCTGGGAAAACAAGAGAAAGTCATGGAGGACAGAGGGAGGAGCCAAAACATGCCTGTAATCAAGCATGAACAGACGCTTTCTGTTAGGGTATACAAACACAATGAGGGAGTTGGAGTGCCCTTGAACCCCAGGCAGAGGCACTCAGACTCTATCTATAACGGGAGTCATGAGGTTTTAAATGAAGGGTGAAACATGATAAAATCCCATTTGAAGCAACATACATTGGCTTTGTGTGCTTTGTTAAGAGGACGAGAGAAAGGAGATGACAGATAAAGGGAATTTACCATGAACAGACAAATGAACAAATCTTAACAACAGGGCTACCTAAAATACAATAAGGCAAGAAAATCATGACTCAATTACAGCTTGAGTAATTATAAAATACCACTGCATGAGAATACAATTTGAATTACCTTGCACATACAGAGATGATTAAGCATGCAGCAAGCAGGATTGCTTGGAAGGAGACCTCTCGCAACAAACTAGCTTCTAATAGGAGGATAAAAATAAATTAATTAGAAATCATTGCAGATTAAACATCTCAGAACAACAAAATTATACTAAAATTTTACTACATGCCAAAATAAATAGTCTTCAACTGCATTTCATTTCAAGCAATTTTTCATAAATATTAAGATAAAATTATCTAGTATTATACAAGGCCATTTTTTTTTTGAGAGGTTTTTCACTGTAGGGCACATGCCCTCGCCAGACAGACAGAGAGAGACATAGAGACAGAAAGCGAGAAATCACCCCCCAGGGGGGATGGTCACGCCACAATCCTTTCTCCATTCTCCTCTCGGGATCTTGGGCACGTATGCATACGCGCCCGGCATGAGTTTTAAGCCACCGGGTCCAGGACGCGAACCGCAGTCGACTACGTGGGAGTCCAGAGACATAGCCATTACGCTAACTGCTGGTTCCCTACAAGGCCATTTTTAATAAAACTTTTGCAAATACCTGATCAGTTTTCTCTAGCCCTATAAATAAAAGGCTATCCTACTTGCACTAACTGCCTTTTGTTTTAATGTTGGGGAAAGGCTTCGTAGAGTTTACTCTAGTGTTGGAAATCTGGCTGTGATGATGATAATGATGATGGTGCGAGTGTCTTGTAATTCACTGAGGGCTTTCAAACATTAACTTAATCAGAATAGCAGCCTTGAAAGGTGGGATCATTTCTTACTTTGGCAAATGAGAAGACCAAGGTTGAGAAAAATAATGAAATTATTCAGGCACACAGCTCTAAGGTACCAGAGCCAAGATGTGAAAACCACATCTAGACAGAACATAATGCTTTGTCTGGAGTGGGGCAGGAAGAGACAATGGCAACTTTGCATATTGGGAGTCTCTACAGTTCAAAAAGGAGAACATATATTATGAAATATTTAGTCTTACAAAACTCTTTACAGTCAGTAAGATACATCGGTGTTGTCAAGCCAAAGCAGAAGGGACTTAGAAATCCTTCAGCTGTTATAAACATAAGAGAACAATGATGAGCCTGAGTGTTACTCTAATCACCTAGAAAAAAATCAGAGTGAGTTTAAGGATCACCTCTTAAAGATCTAGAGAAAATATAAAATGCCTCTAACTTAATTTTTGCCAGATGTTTCAGAAGCTCAATTTTGCAACATAATATGAATGTATTGATTTTTGCTATTTATGCTATGAATGAGGATTGAGTCAGTTATCAACACCAACTTAGCCTATCATGGGGGTGAAATAAACACCGAAGACTGGCAATTCAACGTGTAGCTGTAGTAAATGAAGGCTCAAATGTACAGTAGTTCATGTATGCTGTGAAATCAGTAAGCGATTATGGATTCAATTAACATCAACCATCCTTACAAAGTGTGTTCCTATTCTTAGCCTCCCCTGATTTCATGTGGAATTCAGAAATCTTGTCTTCTCAGAGATAAATCCAACTTGAAATATTTCAAAGATCACTAGACTTGGATAGTGAAGGACAAGTTGGTTTAAATTTGAGATCTACAAAGATAAGAAGAGCTGAGTGATAATTTTGGACAAGTTATTCACTGATTTCTTCCTTTAGTAGCCACTTACTTAGCACTATTGTGACTTAGTTTAAGTGTAACCTCCTTTAGGAAGCCTATCCTGATTACTTCAATGCCTTTGGTTGGTCCCTGCCTGCACTCTCATAATACCTCCTTCTGTCTTCCTTCACTCTCATTTTGCATCGCATTACCATTTCTACTTTATTTCTCTATATTTCCCCACTAGGGTGCAAGCTCATTAGGAATATTTAACATCTACTTCCTGTTCTCTGGGGACTGTGCTCACATTTTCCTTGAGAATTCACTTTCTCTCTAGCGTCCAGCTTAGGCTGAGTGACTGATGTCTACAATTTTCTACATATTGCTTGGTTTATTTGGAGCCATTTTTACTTCACAAATCTATTGTCATGTAAATGGAACCCTTCCACAAATCCATCATCAAGTAAACGGAACTCAGATCTGGGCCCCTTGTCATAATCTTTACGGTTTTAATCTCTTTCTCTGGATTGGAATCTATTAAGTTAAACAGCAGTCACCAGGAACACCATGGAGAAAAGTGTTTAAAGAGTAACATGGGTATTGGAGAGAACAGAAAACGAAAGAGACTGATGAAATCATGAACACTATCCCTAGAATTTTCGCCAACATGAGCCAAGTACCATTTTTGATTAATGCACTTTGACTTGGGTTTCCATCCTGTAGAATTGAGAAAGCTCATAATATAGGTGATGTTGTACATGACTATACCTATATCCTGAGAGTCCGGAACACACCATGCACAAAACACACACCCAAAACCTATGTGTGAAGAGCTTAAAGGGAGATAAAGACCTTGTCCCCAGTGCTGTTCCCAGGGCTTCAGAGCCTAGGGAAACAGAGAAGTTTCATTAGAGGTATATACTGAGTGCTAGGAATCACAGAGGGGTCAAGTGCTATCCCTACCAGGCAGTAGTGGAAGGTCCTATAGAAGTGGCTTCCTATAATTTGGGCCTTGAAAAAAAGCAAAGGCCATCTGGCTAGAGCAAGTGAGAGAGAAATTCCAGACACAACAAAGAACACACATTTGTCCTTGCAAAACTCTTTACAAAGGGCATGAAGGCTTACTTGAACATCTAAGTTTCAGTATTTTTATCTGTACAATGGAAATCACACACTTATTCATTGATCTGCCATAGTCAGAGTGCCTTCTCTGTGCCAGGTACTATGTGGGCAATTGGTGACTATGACGTAGTGCCTGTCGCTAAGAATTTCACAGCCTAATGGGGGCAACGCAGAAACATATACAACAGCAGTGTATGTTTGCCACACGAGATGCAAGCCCTGGGCGCTACACCAAAAAGGGTAGGCTAAGGGCATCAGTGGCATAGTGGATATGGCAGCTGAATCCCACATGGCTGACTATGTGGTTCAAGTCCTGGACCCAGCAGCCAGAAAAATATGCCAAGAATATATGCATGCACTCCCAAATTCCTGAGAGGAGAGAAAAATGGAAAAGAAATTGTAGCGTGACCATTCACCATGGTAGGTGTGTGTGTGTGTGTGTGTGTGTGTGTGTGTGTGTGGGTGCTTTCTCACTTAACCTCCATCTTTTTTTCTCTTTATTTCTCTCTGGTGAGTGCACGTGTACTCAAGCAAAATATTTTGTGTTGTTCTTGTTTTAAAGAAGAATGAGTTCCCTAGAGGAAGTGTCTGTAAGCCTTATTAGATGCTGATAACCTGATGAGATATTGTTTAGATGTTCTCTAAGCAATAAAATCTGCTTTCTCTGTTATCTCATCATCTAGAATGGGAACTAAAATCCCCCTTAGCACTTAATCTAACAACTGTACTCAAACTAAATAGCCAGGACATTTTAGTGTTTTGGGAGAAAAAGAAAGAGGATGGTCAATAAAGTGAAAATCCATAATTTTATGATGTCAAAGAGAAAATATTATATTTTCATTTAACCTCATTCTTCCACAATAACTACTTCCACTGAGTATTCAGTAGACTTGACACAGCATGCTGAGTGCTTCACATGAATTACTTTAGTCATTACTAGGTAGGAACTGTGACTATCTCCATGTCCACATGGAGGTGTTCAGTTTTAACTCGTTTGGCATCCTGTTTCTGCAGTGAGTCAGTGGGTGGAGGGCTGGGCTCTGAATCCTGGCAGCTGAGTGAAAAGCTGGTTTCTTCACCTTGGGGCAACACCACGTTAAGACACGATTCATCTGATATGAGACAACTAGAGATCAAGAGGTATACTTGTTGAACTTACTCCAGATTCACTCCTAAGAGGAAAGACTAGCACTGTATGTGTATATATACATATATATATACACATATAGTGCTTGTCAGTGGCATAGCATTAAGGAATGTTCTTTTTTTTTCTTTATTATTTTTTGTTTTTATGTAGTAAGTCAAATACATAGCTAAGTAGAAACAGTAAAATAGGGGACAGCTGTGTACTTCCTACCCTGCTTTATTACAGTTTAAGATTTTACCAAATGTTTTCAGCATTTCTCTAAAAAGAGAAGAAACACGCAGATCCTGTGCTGTTCATGCCTCTAAGACCACACCCTGAGGCAGGCTCCTCTTTGGCGAAGGTACCTCATGGTATTGCGCAGATGTCCCCCTCCCTTCCATGCACAGGTTGGTATGAGAGTCTACACATACTTTTGTCATCTCTACTCATCTGCAGGTCCTGAAAATAAGACTTTTATGGGTGCAGCAAAGAAGAAGAAAACGCCAAACCCAAACTCACTTGACTGATCCAACATGTCCTCTTGAAAGTATCTAGACTCCATCAACTGGAACTGAAGAGAGGAGTCATGGGAGATTTCTCTGGGAGGCTGGGATGTGATGTGACTGGAGGGGGAGGCTTTCACGGACTCTGTGCTTAGCTCCTCTGACTCCCAGCCATCAGTCAGAGGTCCATCAAAGTCACTCCCTGGAAGAATAGGAGGGTTCACAGTGTGGGTGCATGTGAGTACGTGTGTGTTTTATGACTACTCCATGTGTGGGTCTAACAATCACAACAATAGTAATAGGGAAGTGCTGTTGGGTAGGATGGGAGAAGGACTTCTGGATGAGATGGCATTTCAGTTTGTCCTCATCTGTAAAGGTGGAAGAGAAGGACAGAGATGAGAAAAGTCCAGAGCCATGAAAATTCAGTGAAGGAAGCTAATTCCAATGCTTAAAGCAGCACTAGAAGGAAACTTCAAAGTCATAGTAACCAAAGGACAGTGGTTTAAATTACAATGTAGGAGTGGAGAAAGGCCTTAGTCTCAGAAGAGGTGCAAAATTGAAACTGAGTCCCTGATGGGACTGTAAAGACCATTTCCCCAATGAAAAAGTGCACTAGGAAAAAAATACAGAGAAGGAAATATACCTCTGTCTATCTATCATCTCTATCTATGTATCTGTAATATCTATTTACCTATTTATCTATCTCTGCTTCAGGGAAAAGGCACCAAAGCTGATCTCTTTTGGCCTAGACAGTGAGTAGTAGGAAAATGTCTCCACTAATGTCTTAATAAGTAAGTGGGTTTTGAGTTAATATGTTTACCTACCTGAGAAGTTAATATTTTGAAAAGTCTCAGGCTGGTCCTAATCTTGTAGTATATTCCGGAAACCAGTATAAAAGCTCTCTCCACCCAAGCTGAACAGATTCATTCAAATAAAGCCCAAGGGAGATACATTCATATTCTAAACATAGGGAAGTAATCTTCCAGGGGTAAGAAAATGAATATACTGCTGCAAAACAGGATAATCCTGAGGTGGGAGATGATAGGGTAACCATGAGGTTACTGCCTGGTGTAAGCTAGGAGCAGTGGGCACAGTGTTTAGGGAAATTGTCCTAGTTTATTTCATCTTGGGGAAACTTTTTTTTTTTTTCTGAGAGGTTTTTTCGCTATAGGGCGTGTGCGCTCGCCAGACAGACAGAGACAGACAGAGAGACAGAAAGCGAGAAATCACCCACCAGGGGGGATGGTCATGCCGCAATCCCTTCTCCTCCATTCTCCTCTCGAGATCTTGGGCACACACGCACATGCGCCCGGCGTGAGTTCTAAGCCACCAGGTCCGGGACGTGAACCGCGGTCAACTACATGGGAGTCCAGCGACATAGCCATTACGCTAACTGTTGGTTCCCTCTTGGGGAAGCTTTAAAAGGGACTTGAAAAAATTTTTTTCTACCCCCAGTATCTACTCATTTTTGCTTCTTATTTAAATGTGACAACTACTTCTATGGTCCATATGATTCTCGATTTCATGACTAGGAGAAATACTCAAGTCAGCAGGCATATATTTATATTTGGAAATAGCCTCCTTGCCCAGGCTGGTCCCTCTCAGCCTGACATAGAGCTACTGAGTTGGTGCTTGGAGAATTTCTGCTGACCCTGAGATTTTCCCCCACATCCAACCTATAACTTTCAGCTACATGGCATAGCAGTTTTTGGAAGCATCTCTGCTGGTTGCCATAGAAGAAGGAAGCAGCAGCAAGTGAGGCATTTAGTAATGACCACACTGCAGAGGTGGTCTTGACCAGGCTCATTACAGCACTCTTCACAATAGCCAAGAAGTAGAAACAGCCCAAGTGTCCAATGACAGGCGGATAAAGAAAATGTGGTATGTATATTTGATGGGATATTATTACGTCTTTAAAAAGGGAAGAAACTCTGCCATTTGTAACAACATGGATGAACCTAAAGAATGTTTTGCTAAGTGAAATAAGCCAGTCACATAAAAGGCAAATAAAGCATGATTCCATTTGTATGAGGCATCTGAAACAGCCAACCTTGTAGAAGCAGAGAATACAATAGTGGTGGTGAAGGGGCTGGAGCTGGTGGTAGTGGGGAAGTAGAAGGTTGTGTTGAAAGGGTATAAAGATTCAGGTGTGCTGGATGGATATGTTCTAGGAATCTGCTGCTCAACATAGTGCCTGTGTTAACAAGATGGTCTGTGTCAGCCAGACAGATCTGATGGTGAGAATTCTAACACACACAGGCACACATACCAGGGGCACATGAGAACCTTCGGGCTGTGCTGTGTATGCCCATTGCTCTGACCCTGGTGGTGCTATCATGAGTGTCTGCACGTTTCCAAACTGTCAAACTGTGCACACTAAGAATGTGCTGTTCTTTCTTCTACACCGATTATACTTTAAGAAAGCTGTTTGCTTTTTTTTTTTTTTTTCAAGAGGAGGTTAGATGAGAAAATTAATGTGGAAGAGAGAAAGAGCTGGGGACTTTCCTGACTGAATATGTATTTGTCAGTGGCCCTTAATTATGATCCCTAGAGATGTGGACAAGACGGTGACAGCAGTCAAAATATTTCGTGCTGTTTCCCAAGGCTGCCTGATTTAATCGAGAGCTTTGCCACCAAGAGTTGGATGAAATAAAACAAAAAATATGCTCTATAGGAAATACTGGAAATTTTATACAAAATTTTCTAAAAGAAGAGATAGCAGTAAACAGGGAAACCACAATAGAAATTGTAATATTCAAAAATTAACAAGGACGATTTTCATTTCTGAAATGACACAATTTGCCGCCAACTTACCCTTTCCCTGACATTCATTTTTTTATCCTACTTTACTAACAAAGGAAAGGATCGTAATGATCATAACACATCAGCAAATAGCTCTAATGTTATATTTGAAGACCTTAATTTTACTCCATTTTGCCTGATTTCTTTATCTTGAATGTAGTGTACTACTTTTGCTGAAAAATGATGACTCTGGATCCAATTACATCTTCCATATCCTTTCATATAAAATGAGCAATATCGTTTGCTATGAGAGAAGCACAAAGACACATACAGATGCTGCTATCAAACACATTTATGAAAGAGACATGTGTTCAGTGAAAACACAGACCTCAAACTTGAGTGACTTGCATAGGGTCATCTTGCCTTTCCTAGGGTTGGCACAAGAGGAGCTGGGAGGTCCCCTTCGGTCCTCCTTGTGTGAATCCTCCATTCTCATTAAGTCTGACTCACAGTCTCTGGGAACACATCCCGAATCGCAGCACCGAGGTCTGGGGAACTACAAAATGCCATGGCTAAAGAATGAATTGCAACTAATGGGGGAAGGTGTCTCAACACAGCTGGGGAAGGGGTGAACTGAGGACAAACATAGGCAGAAAAAAAAAAAAGAAAAGAAAAAAATCCTCTCTTGCCTGAAAAATGAAGCAAGAGAAAATCAGGGGAAGTAATGTTTGATTGCATCTATTGCACAGAGAGAAAACAGCAAAACAATTTAATTTTGAATTCTTCCTGAGTCTCCTAACTAGGCGACATTTCCAGAGAAAAATAAATTACAAAGAAAAGTCATGGGGCCCGGGGTAAATCCAGAAAGCAGGAAGTCTGGGAAAGATTTCATTACAGTTGACAGCAAAGAAGAGCGTTTTTTAAATTTCCATGTGCACCAAGTTTGAACAATTATTGGTTTTGGAGGGGGTTGCTTTGATTTGTTACATTTAGAAGATATTTGGAAGCCATGAGAATTTTAACAAGGTTCCTCATTCATGTGCAACCCTGCAGTGGTCCAACTGCTTTAAAATTTGACATATTTTGAAGGGGAAACTACAGGAAAACTAGATGTTAATTTCCAAATATGTGAAACCCTACCTTCGGAATAGCAATTCCCAAACTTCAATCAGCCAAAGCATAATTTTCCTAATTTTTGCCATATTGAAAAAATTGTGAGCTCTCAGCTATTTAGTATTTTCTTCAAAGGATCCCATTTGAAATTTCCACTATAAAGGAAATTTTCTACCAATCACTTAAGTATCCTAAGAGAAAGTACATTTAAATAGAAATAGGATGAAAATATAACCTTATTCAATTGCTCAAAATACTGGTGAAGCAGAAACCTCTGAACCATCCTCTGTTTGAAATAATTTTGTTAAAACAAAAGCGAGAGTAGCAAATGTTAGAGAGTCTGAAAGTTACCAAGACGAAAATGGAGCTGGTGCCCTTGGTTTTATCTGTGGATTGGAAGAGGAGCCATAGCTTCTTGCTCACTGTGTGATTCAATATTCTTTTTTGCTGTGTCCTAGAGCAATCTCTACATTGCTTTGGAATTGAAGAGACTGGCCCTGTGTGCTCTAGAAAACCAGGCTAGAACCAAGGGATGAGAACTTGAAAAGGCACATAGATAGGTCAGGATAAGCAAGCTTCTTCTGTAGCCACACTCACCAACGAGAGGAAAAAGTAACCTTAAAAAGGAATGAGAGGGGACTAGCAGTTAGCGTAATGGCTATGTTGCTGGACAACCATGTAGCAGACCATGGTTCAAGCCCCAGACCCCGTTGCTTAAACTCACGCTGGGTGCATGTGCAATTGTGCCCAAGATCCCGAGAGGAGAATGGAGGAGAAGGGATTGCGGTGTAGCTGCAGAAAAATGCTTGCACTTCCATGTTTATTGCAGCTTAATCACAATTGCTAAGCCATGGAATCAAACCAAATGTCCAAGAATGGAGGAATTGGTTGAAATAGTGTGGTACATATACACTATGTAATACTTCTCAGCTATAGAAAACAATAAGACCCTGGCATTTGATAGAAAGTGGATGAATATGAAAGGTTTAATGCTAAACAAAGCAATCCAGACTCTGACAGAGAGACATTGTATGTCCCCACTTAATATATACTGAATGTCTGCACTCTATGTCAAAAACTGAAAGATTAGAGGGCACAGAAAGCAACTGTGAATACCAAAGTCAGTGTAGGAAAAAGGTGGGAAGAGAGGGTTTGGTTGGGAGAGAGGGAATCTATAGGGGAAAAAAGAAGAAAAACATTCAACACACAAAAATGGAAAATTGTTCATGACAATGTGATGATAATACCTTTGACTGGACTAAAATACAGTGTATTCATGCTGGGAAAATTCATTTTCTATGTTGTAAAGATATACAGTCATTGAATGTAAAAAAAAGAAAAAAGAATAAAATTAAATGAAACTAAAATTAAAATAAAATAAATTGGCTTGTGAAAAAAATATTCTCACCACAAAAACAGAAAATGTGTGAGGTGATGGATGATGAATGCTATTCGCTTTACCCAAACACTACACAATGTACACATGAATCAATGTGTCAAAATATCACTTTGTGTACTGTAAATGATTTTTGTCAACTCTACCTTAATAAAGCAAATTTTAAAAATAATGAAAGTTCAGGGGGACCAGCAGTTAGCGTAATGGCTATGTCGTTGGGCTCCCATGTAGTTGACCACAGTTCAAGTCCTGGACCTAGTGGCTTAAACTCACGCCAGGCGCGTGTGTGTGCGTGCCCAAGATCCCGAGAGGAGAGTGGAGGAGAAGGGATTGCGGTGTGGCCATTCCCCCCCCGGGGGGGGTGATTTCTTGCTTTCTGTCTCTCTGTCTCTCTCTGTCTGTCTGGCGAGAGCATGCTCCCTATGGCAAAAACCTCTCCCCCCCAAAAAATAATAATAATGAAAGTTCAAATAAGCTAATCTATGGAGATAGTAGATTGTCAGGGGTTTGCCATGAATGAGGAATGGACTGTTGATAGGTATGGGGTTTTTCTTTTGGGTAATAAAATGTTCTAGAATTAAAAAGTGGTCATGGTTGCATAATTTACCTTGTGACTACACTAAAAGTCACTGAATTATCACATTAAAATGGTAAATTTTATGGGATGTGAATTACAACTTAAAATAGTGAGGGCTCCTTTTTTACTACAGGTATTTGTAAGCAATCTTTTAGAAATGTGGAGAGTTGGCCAGGTGACCTCTCTTGCCTTCTGAGTAAGGATTCTATACATACTTTATTTGCCAAAGATTTGAAGACTAAGGATACTTGGATTGACATCTTAATCAAGGTACACACCATTAGCTGTTTACTTATATTCTCTGTATCAGGACAACTGCATTATTCTTTACCTGAGAAAATTTCTCCAAAGAACCAGTATTTTCCTGATGTAGTGGTTCAGAGCACAGGCTCAGAATGTTAGGTTTGATACCTGGCTATGCTATACTTACGAGCTGCATATCATCATGAAAGTATCAAATATGCCTTTGCTTTCCCTTCTAAAAAAATGAAGATACTATTTCCCTCTCAGGCTTTGGAGAGAAGTGATGAATAACATATGTGGACCTGTTGGACTAGTACTGGTCTGTAGCACCCCCTACTAAGCACTCACTACTATGAGGAATCACTATTACTAGGCCTTCTGGTCTACCTCCTGAATGCCTTTCTTAATTCTTCCTGTTCATTCACTTGTTTTTACTTTATTCCAAAGAACTCTACTTCTTCTCAGATTGGCTTCCATATCAGCATCTCTGGATGTTTTCTCACTCCTGAACTCCTTTCTCACATTTTCAAACCTTTGCTGGTTGCCCTTCTTTGTCCCATAGATTCTTGAAATTCAACTCATATGAAATAGAATTCATTGTCTCTTCCTGACCCCAATCTATTATTGTTTTCCTTTTTAGACCTAATATATATTGAGCAGAATATCAGACCCTGTGTTACTAGGCTACATTTTATGAATTGCTGCATTTTATCCTCAAAATATTGAGTTGTCAGAAAAGTCATAATTTTTTTTGCATTTGCACAAATGTGTCATGACTTTTCCAGCTACCTAATAATTCCATGGGGGTGGATGTTCAAAAAGTTCATGGAAAGTGCACATTATTAAAAAAAAACTATGCATGATTTCAATATTTTTGCACCAAAATAAACTCATAATTTAATTTCATTTTCCAAGAACTTTTAGAAGTCCTCTCATACGTGCAATTATTTCTTTTCCTTTATAAATGAAGAAACTATCCATTACCTACTCAAATAGGTAAAAATGGTTCCAGGATTTGAGTTCAGGTTTATCCAGCTCAAAAACCCATTCACATAATCACTTTGCCATACTATCTTCCAGCCCTTGCTGACAGTCAGCATTTTGCATTAAATTCAAGTTAAGCACATCAGTGTTTTTTGATTCCTCCCACTTTCTCACCATTATATTCAGTCTGTCACCAACTTGTCAATTCTACCTTGAAAAGCAGTCCTTAAATTTCTTCCACTCTATTTCCAGAGCCACTTCCTTAGTGTGTTTGTTAGTTTTAATTGTCTCTGAGATCTCACTAGTTGTTCTCCACCCAATTCTCACTACATGTTACTGCACAGGCAACTGGAAATTTAAATCTGATTTTACTACTGCCCTGTTTATATGCCTTCAGAAATACAGGCCAGCTCTGTGTAACACCTTGCTCAGGCCACACTGGATCCATATGGAAGATCACAGGTTGGTTCCCCAGTCTACCAGCACATGCCAAGTGCACCTTGCCCATTATCTTCAGTGGCTTAGAGGGCTGAGGGTGTTTGTCTTTTTCTTTCTCTCTCCTTTTCTCGCTCACTCTCATAAAAGAGAAAAAATAACAATAAAAAACTTTTAAAAACAAAGGTCTTTCAAAAATATGTTTACTTTATCTTTGACAAAGTCCAAACTCTTCAGCATGGTGCTTCAAATATCTACAGTCTGGCTTTCTAGGATCATGCCCCAGGTAGTTGCCTTTTCTTTTTTCTCATCTCCTTGTCTTGCTTACACATCCTTACACATCTTGTTACTGTAGGGAACTAGCATACACCATTTAAATGATCAACTGTCCTCCTAAGAAATTGTTTCTTCATTTAACAAGCACTCTGTTTTCTAAACCAACCCACACCACTACATGTAAATATTGGTGTGTAATCTCCATGATATTGTGTCAATGTCAATTTCTTGGTTTTGGTAATGCACTATAGTTGTTTAAGTTGCAACCCATGGACAAAGCTGAATGAAGGGTACACAGGCACCATCTACTACTTTTTGCAACTTTTTGTGAATCTATAATTACTGGAAATGAAAAATAAATAATGCTATATTTGAGTTTCTGCTCAGGAAGCAGGTTGAGAAAAATAGTTGACATATAATTGCTATAGTCAGTTTTATTTTTATATTATGTGGTTCTTCTGGCTTGCTCTTTGGGCCTGGGGCTATGGATTTCACCTTGGAAAGGAGGAAACAATCTTTTCTGGCAATGAGTGGAGCAACGTTGGGGTTTTCAAATCATTATGCCTACCTTGAATTCCAAGTCTGCTTTTGTAAACTAAATGAACTTGGGAAAATGACTTCACTCTGACTCTCAGTTTCATCATAATTATAATAAATGTGATCGTGTGACCTATTTCCTAGGGATTTTTGGATATTTAACAAGATAATATATGGAAACAAGATAATATATTCAAACAAGGAAGACTGTTAAATGCTTAGCATATATAAAATAAGCACCCTAGATTTCTTTCCTTCACTCACAGCTCACATCTGCCAATGCTGATGGCCCTACCTGTGAAATATATCCATATTACCACTTTTCACCACCACTATGCTGCCATCTTAGTTCAAGTTACCATATTCTCCTACCTGCATCATTCCCACAGACTCTTACTTAGTTTTCTTGCTTCCTATCCTGAAACCTGATATCTAAGATGAACATAACAAGGAACAGCAGTTAGTGTAATGGCTATGTCGCCGGAGTCCCACGTAGTCAACCGCGGTTCGCGTCCCGGACCCGGTGGCTTAGAACTCATGCCGGGCGCGTGTGTGTGCATGCCCAAGATCCCAAGAGGAGAATGGAGGAGAAGGGATTGCGGCGTGGCCATCTCCCCTGGGGGGTGATTTCTCACTTTCTGTCTCTCTGTCTCTCTCTGTCTGTCTGGTGAGCACATGCGCCCTATAGCAAAAACCTTTCAAAAAAAAGAAAAAAGATGAACATAATAGTCAGTTACCCTATAAACTAAGTTGAATTATATTATTCCTCTGTTTAAAGTCTTCTATGGCTTCTCCTCTTGCTCAGAATAGAAGGCAAAGCCTTTGAAACAGCTTTATATCTATCCTTGTCCTTCCCCACCTGCACTACCCAACACACATTTCCTTTGTTAGATTTTTTCCACCCCTAATATCTGCACAGCTATGTTGAACCTACTTTTAAGCCAATGCTCAAAAGTCACTCTCAGTACGGCCTTCCTTAACTACCTTATTCACACTTAAGATCCCTTACACTGGGCCCTTTGTTGTTCATATTACTTACCACTTTTTTGACATATGAGATAATCTATTTATTGCCTGTCTCCCCCTACAAAAATGCAAGTTTCACTAAAAAAAGTAATTGTGTTTGTTTTGTTCACCACTACATCAATGCATAGAGTAGTTCCTGGCATAGCTGGCTCTCATCAAAATTTTCTAAATGAATGAATTTCAGTAGAATGAGCAGAGTGAGCAAAGCCATAGATACATGGAAGAGCATGGTCTATTTGGGAGACTGAGAGCAGATCAGGGTGATCAGACCTGAATGCACTTACGAGAAGGAAGAAATGAAAATGAGACCAATAACATTGGCATTGGACAAGTGCAATTGCACAAAGCCCCCAAATTACTTGTGCCTCAAGCTTGGTCTAACACCCTCCTATGGTCTAAAATGCCACGAGCTGGCCCCAAGTGAATTTTTAAATGTGGCCCATCTCCTTAATAAAAATGACTGGCATTGCTGGAGTCAATGTTGTCTAGGACCACTTGGTTGCCAGTACCCATCAGAAATGACATTTTGTTATGGAAAGAAAGACTTAGACTCACCATTTTCATGGCAATGATACTTATCCAGTCTCCTGGACCCCTCCAACCAGAAGTTCTCACTTGAAGAAGTGCTGGCATCCCCAAAGATATTTCCATGCAGCCAAGATTTAGAGGTACTTAGATCGAAGAGAGAAGAAAGAGAACGGCGGAGTCTCTTTTTCTTCCTAAATATTCTGGGGAGAAATGAAAGTAGCATGGAGAATAATTAAAGCAGTCAGCTCAGGTTCAGAACAGAATTTTATGAAAATGATCGGATGCTCAGAGAACAGCTCTACTGTCCAAGTCTACTCCTTTCGTTAATTTCATAGAAGTTTCTTAAAATTCTATGTGTCAGTTTCTTGGATCAATGGCAAAGATACTGAGATTATAATGTAGGAAAGGACTATAACTGAGAGGAAAAAAGACATTACCCTTCGTTATGTATAAATAAAACAAAGGGCATGGAATTATCTGTCTAAGATGAATTATAGTAAAGCCTTCTGCATTCTTTTTCCAGGGTGATGTTGGCTTTGTTTCGGGAACATTTGGCAATTTCTGGAGGCTTTTTTTTTTTTCAATGTTGCATCAGGGGAAAGTTGTTACTGGCATCTGGTAGGCATAGGCCAGAGATGCTGTTAAATAGCCTGTAACGCACAGCACAGTCACTCAGAACAAAACAAAACAAAATCGAGTACGAAATGTGCATATATGTATTGCAGTGCTCTTTGTTGAAAATGATAAATATGGCATTATCCATGATTTGATTGTCACACACAACCTGAACATTTTGAAAATTCTTGTTGTGTCCCACAAAGATTTACAACAATTAAATGTAAATAAGAAATTGTGAAACAAAATAGAAAGTAAAAAAAGAAAGGGTTCATGACAAGAAGAATGCAGATATAGCTAATGCTTTCATAGATCGGATGCTGTGCCAGATATCTTTTTCAGTACTTGACATAGATGAACTCACATTATACGCAAATACCCCTATCACGTAGGTACTATTATTTCCAATTAAAAAAATGGCGTCACAGAGAGGTTAATTTACATGGCCGAGGTCATAGAGCCCGTGACATAGTCGGGATGCAAACACAATGTGACTCTATATAGTCTCTGCTCTTGATCACTAAGTTATGTGGAAAATATGTGTTCAGAAAGAGTTAGCCGGAGGCTGCTTTGAGATCACCAGAAGGGGCATTGGCAATTGAGAACCAAGGGAGGCTTTCCAGAAGAAGTGATTTCTGAGGGGCACAGATGATCTATTCCATTTTTCGAAGAACAAGTAGGTCTCACACTGTGCCAAAGGAAGCAAGATTGGAAAGGTAAAAGGAAGGCAACTGATGAGGAATCTTGTATGTCACGTGGAGGAGGCAAACTGGAACATTAGACAAAGGGAAAGCGCTGATGCATGCCAAGGGGAAGGTGGATGTGGTGATGCAATTTGGTTTGCATTTTGAAAGGTTTCTGGCCACAGAGGATGGCTTGGAGGGCAAGCTCGAGGGTAGAGAGGCTATCCAAAGTACACAGTGGACTTATTTTAATTTGTGTGACTGACTGTGATGTGCTAAACACGTTGTAAGGTGAGGAATGTAGAAGACCTGCACCAAAACCTACCAGGCAAAAGGAAAATAGGATGGTTTTCCTATCACATGTCCTGTTCTCTAAGGGGGCATCTAGAGCTGCTTTCAGAAGATACTTTTTAAGCTCTGTTTGCCTTTAGTGTTTAAGATCAATTACAGAAAAGCCTTCTGCATTCTTTATACAGGGTGATGTTGGCTTCGTTTTGGGAACATTCGGCAATTTCTGGAGATTTATTCTTCAGTGTGACACCAAGGGAAAATTGTTACTGGCATCTGGCAGGCATAGGCCAGAGGTGCTGTTAAATGGCACAGCACAGTCACTCAGAACCAAACAAAGTCTAGCACAAAATAAAAATATGCATAGGGCTATAACTGAGACTTTTTGCTTTATTTTAATTCTATATGTCATTCATTTCCGGTAAAGGCAAGTAGAAGAAAATGATGTAATTCATGATAAGGCAACAATTTCTTCTAAAAATTAGTCAAATTATAAAGGTTCTTGTAGTTCTAAGATGAGAGCATCTTAATTTGAATAAAAAATTAAACATTTTTAATCTATTTACTCTTATATTAATTAAATCACCCAATAACCTTTATTAAGTACTTATTGTGAGTTGGGCAGTGATCAAATCTGAAAACAAATTTATGGTTAAAGTGTTATCTCTAACATTAAGGATATCTATACAAGGTGGAATAAAGTTTAAAGAGGTGATTAGAAACTTGTTCTCTAAGGTCAGATGACCTGAATTAGAATCCCGATTTCACACAATAGCTCTGTGAGTTTGGGAAAGTTATTTAACCTCTATGGACTTATGTTTCCCCTTTGCTAAATGAGAATCTATGTCAAAAGATTTCAAGACAGGATTTATCAATCAAGTTAGACTGTATGTGTAGAACAACTGAGGTAGTACCTAGTACACAGTAAATGATCAATCAATGACATTTATTTTATTTATCTATTTAACAGACTTTGGCAATTATAGTTGTAGTGTAATAGAACCAACCTCCATCAGTTGGTTCCAGGCAACTTTACCATGGCAGAGCCTCCTCCAACAAGGCTCTCATGGCTGGAAGACTCGTAGGATTGAAAGGAGCCTAGATCTCTGAATCATTACTTGGAGATGGATAACTAGCTAACTTGGACCATTACATGAGCTAAAAACAAAATTTGATTTTGTTTGAATCAATACATTTTTTTGATCTATAGGTTATCACCTATAGATCTTATCTGAATAATCCAAAGACCATTGACTAAAACAAAAATGGGTGTAAATAAAAAGATTAAGTCTGGAGTGACTCCAAAGAGGGGGTGAATGATACTCTTTTTCACAGAAATAAAAATAACATGAGAAGCATGTTTAACATAAAGATGATCCATTCTATTTTAGACATATTGGCTTTAGGATGCCTGTAGAAAAGTTAAAGCTGCCTGAAAGATTATTAGAGAGATGGTCTGACTCAAAAAACAGAATTAAGTTAGCAATGTAAGTCTGGGGATCTCCAATGTGGCAAATTGCAATATTGCTCATCCAATTTGCATATCCTCACTTCCACCCCGTTCAGTAGGGGGAGAGGGTATTTTCCTGACCCTTACTCCAGTTTGCTCATATGGATTGCATTGGTCAATGGGATGTTAGTGATTTAATATGCACAGGAGCTTGAAATGTGCTTGCTGTCAGGTCTTGCATTTATGCAATTAAACTGGGATGAATGTTCCTCATGTAGTCCCCTGGACTGACATGTGAAGTAGACTTAATCCCAACCTGAAGCCAACCTCAACCTAGTTCAGACTGGGTCAGCCTGCTCTAACTAACTTCCAAACGTGTGTACTCCTTGTTTTATAGTACTAAAATTTTATAATTCTTTGTTACACATTATTATTGTGGAAATAGCTGACTGATATAGTCATATATGAATAGTTTTGAAGTAAAAAAAATGGATATTATTGCTCAAATTCACTGATTCAAAGTAAATTTATCTTCTTGTAAACATATTCCCCTTTTATGTCTAATCTTGGTAAATTTTTCTACTATACATTCTGTTGACAAAGCCATAGTCCTACTAAGTGTGTACCCTTCATTTGCTGGGATTTTCACATCCAGTTAGTGACCAAGTCCTATCTCTTCACCACCCCTTTGACTAATTCCCCACCCCTACTCTTTTATCCTTGCCACTACAACTTTCCTTCAATCTCTGGGATACCCTGCCTTCTTCCATTTTTCTTATTCTACTCATTTTCTATCCACATGTCCACACTCCCAACAAGCCATTGTCTGACTGCAATCACTATTACTTTTCTAATAATAAATCTGATAAGATCACAATGGTTCCTCTTTATCCACAAAACAGAGCCCAAACTTCTTTCAGTGAAACTTAATCCCCCCAATCTGGCTCTTGACTCTGTGTTGTCTCCTTTCCTATCCTAAATTATACCATGACCAAACTACTTTTTAATTCCCAAGTTGTTTCAGAGTCTCTCAGAAACCTGTGCTTGTTTTGTCCTTTGAATTTCCTTTTTCTACTTTTATTTTAGCTAACATTTTAAATCTTTCAAGACTCAAATCAATTGTCATTATCTCTGGGAAGTAAAATTTTACCTGTTCTTCAAGTAGAATAGGCTTCTCTTCCTTTTCCACTCTACTGTAACCCACACAGATTTTTAGTACAGCACTTATATCCTTCAATATTTTTGTTTGTTTTCAGGTCAGTTATCCCTACTCTTTACTGCCCCTTGGTTTCCATAGTCTGGAGCAATAATGGGCTCCTTATAAGTGATTATTGAATAGATAATGAATGTATGAATAATTATTGGTAAGTTAGAGTTTAGATTCCTTGATATAATATCCTCTACTTACCTAACTAAGTTCTCTTTGTACATAACACTAGTCTGGGATGGGTTCAGAGTTATGTTGCCATCTTTGTCACAGAGAAAACTGTCTTCTGTCCAAATGTAGTAGCCATTGGCAAGGAGCCTGGGACTTCGACGACAGGTGTAGTAGGAGCCTGTCAGAGGATTTATGGAGCAACATTCAAAGGAATTGTCACCATCCAGGAAATCACAAGCAAAACTAGAAAAGGAAAAAGGAAAGTTCTTTAGATCTCTATCAAGTACATGTAGTCACATGAATACCAGATGTCTAGTCGCTGTGAAGGAAAGCAATCTGTTTGCATTAATGACTCTCAATTACTTCTGCAACCACTATGGATGCCACTCTTAACTTTCTGGGTTTCATTTCATTGCCTGTGAGAGCGCTGAAACATAGGACGTCTAGTGCTTCTTTCTTTGGTAGAAACACAGGCTAATCAGTATCTTTACTATATGATGAAACTTCACTTTTGACATTAATTCATTTTTTTGGATGGAAAAATCACAACATAGCCTTTCTTGGATGTTGGAAACTCATAATCCCTTAAACCTCCTTAGTTTGAATAACCCTCCAATTGCTATATTCTTATCATAGTGATAGAAAAATTCAACCAATGGCATAAGAAATAAACAACACCCCCAGAATAAACCCCAAAACATACAGCCAGCGGATTTTTGACAAAGGACACCAGTCAGTCCAGTGAGAAATGGAAAACTTCTTTAGCAAACGATGTAGGAAAAACAGGGTATCCATCTGCAGAAGATGAATCTGAACCCTTACCTCTCATCATTGACAGAAATCAACTCAAAATGGATCAAACATCTAAACCTAAGACCTCAAACTATAAAACTACTGGTGGAAAACACTGGGAAAACTCTGGGAGACATTGGGGTAGGCAAAGACTTCTTAAATAAGACCGCCAAAGTACAGTACACAATCCCAAAAATAAGACAAGTGGGATTAAATCAGATTAATAAATTTCTGCACAGCAAAAGACACATTACTTAGTCGTAATTGACAACTGTAGAAAGGGAAGAATATTTTTGTAAACTATGCTTCAGATAAGAATACATAGGAAATTCAACTGGCTTACCTGAAAAAAAGATGAACCTAATTAAAATATGGGAAATTGACCTGAAAAAACAACTCTCTAAGGAAGACATATGAATAACCAAAAAACATATGAAAAAATGCTCCACATTTCTCATCATAAGGGAGATGAAGATCAAAACCACAATGAGATACCACCTAACCCATGTCAGAATGGCAAAGATTAAAAATATAAAAAGTGATAAGTGTTGGTGGAGATGTGGTGAAAAGGAAACTCTCCTACACTGTTGGTAGGAATGTAAACTGGTTCAGCCACTGTGGAGAACAATATGGAGGTTCCTCAAAGATCTACAAATAGAACTACCATTTGATCCAGCAATCCCACCCTTGGATATCTACCCAAAGGACAGGAAAATGCTTAGTTGGAAAAGTGCTTGCACATCTATGCATATTTCTGTATTATTCACAATTGCTAAGATTATGGAACCAGCCCAAATGTCCACAAACAGAAGAATTGATTGAGAAAGTGTGACACACATACACTATGGAATACTATTCAGACATTAAAAAAATAAGACCCTGGCTTTTGATAGAAAGTGGATGAATATGGAAGATTTACTGTTGAGTGAAGCAAGCCAGCCTATGAAGAAGAGACATCATATGTCTCCTCTTTTTTACTGACTGTCTGCACTCTATGGAAGAAACTGAAAGATTAGGGTATATAAAAACATGGAAAATGGTTATAGATACTGGACACAGTGTGGAAAGAGAAAGGTGAAGAAGGAGAGTCTGAAGAAAGACATTAAGGAGAAAAACAGAGAGGCAAGACATTTATGGGACATAGAAATGGATTATTATCTGTTGATGATAATGTGTATAGTATCCCCAACTGGACTGGTGTGAAATGTATTCATGTTGAAAAATTCACTTTATAAGCCAAGTGATATACAGTGATTGAATGTATGAAAGAAATTAAAATAAAATAAAATAAATTAGTAGTATTAGTTTAAAAAATTTTTAAAAAGAAATCAATAAAACAGAGTCAGAAAAAAAAGGAAGGAAGGAAGGAAGGAAGAAAGGTAGGAAGAAAAAGAGATGCCATTGTAGTACTTGAACAAAATGTTAAACATACATGTTTTAGTAGAGCATGAAATTTGGTTATCTTGTGCATTGGTGTAGAATCTTGTTGCTCTTATACAATGGGATGGTAAAGCATATTAAAGAGAACATCAATTTGATAAAAAGTAACCATTCACCAGTATTCAAAAGTTTTTCACTCACCAGACAAAGAAAGGATTTATACCTGTCCACATACTCACATCAAAAAGAGAACAATTCACTATTAGATAAGTCAAGCCTTTAATTTGTATGTGCATAGGGCTGAAAATCTATGACCATATATAACCAAACATGGATGATAACTAAAGTCATATTTTAAAATATTGCTTATAATAAGGCATACAGGAAGAAAAGTTGAGAAACATCCCATGGAATACCTTGGGAAAATGCATGTGGGTGACAGCTCTCCAGCATATTCTTTGTCCAACCTAGAAGAACCTGCACAAGAAAATAAGAAAAAAGTTAAAATTTATCCCACCACATCAATGTGTGTGATTGCAAATGGTGGAAGCATGTAAGAAGATGTGAACAGTTAATGTCTCAGCCTCAGCATAATGACCCCATCCAGGATAGCCATTCAGTGAATCAGTCTAACACGACTTGTCGCCAGGTCTCCATGGGGAGTAAAAAATAATCTAGAGGTTTCTATCTCCCGTCCCTTCTTGTACAGAACACTCCTTTAGAGGTTCCTTAGTGCAGGATGAAGCAATAATAAATACATCGTTAGTATCAAACTGAGCTCATGAAAAGAAGGAAGAAAATGTCTTGTATGAAACTGGAGAAGACCCAAATCAATTACCCAATGCATTGGTTATTGTAGCTTACTGAGTATTCTGAGAGATTCGGTCATCAGCCTAGATTCTCCCTCATTAGTGCATTTTAAGTCACTTCTACTGTAAAAGAGTGAACAAAAGACATTAGTGGGGGTAGAACTATGCTTTGTTTTGTGTATGGTGTTCCAATGTGTGAAGCCTGTGAGTAGTTTTAATTATAAAAAAAGAAATTACCCATTCATTCTTTCATTCCAGTTTAACCAATGGTGTGACAACAGACTTTACTTGGGGAAAGTTGCAACTGATTAACGTTCTAAACTCTAAAAAAGAATTTTATAGTGTGTAGTGATGGTTTTAATACTTCTAATAGGCTCCATGAAACTTAATTTCATAGCTGACAGTATCCGAAACAAAGAAAGAAATTTAGACTTTCAGATTGGGCTGGTTGATTTGTAAGGAGAAAATGTGGGTGTGTGAGGGAGGGTTAGAAGTGGGGTTTTGGGAGAAAATAACAAGAGGAAGGAAGAAACTTGAAACCACTACCGTTTTAACAACGCCCTTATTTTCTGCAAGTAGCTATCAAAAGCATTCAGCATTTTTTTTTTATAGACAAACAGTTTTGCATCTTAATAGTAGCTGATAAACAATCTCCTTTCACATTTATGCACAGGCATCTAAAAAAAACGGTGATTTTTTTTTCCCTACTAAAAAGAAAAATACCACATTTCTCTCAAGGAAAGAAATCAAGTCAAAATCATTGCCAACGTGAACACTGGCATTTAAGAAGCACAAGCTACTGACAGATGGTTAATGGTCTGAGTATCAGCAAAATCAAAGCAAGGAAATTGCTAAACGGAGTCTAATCGTTCAAAAGATAATTGCATATAGCAGTTCTGCTACATTTACTTGCTACTGGTGTTGACATCAGTTGAGATATTCGGTACATCTTGGGAAGGCCACTTGTTCAAACTTCACAGATTTTCTGCAAAAGATGTTAAAAAAAGGTAGACTATATATTAAAAATAGAAAAAAAATTATGCCAAAACAGATGGCATCTACTAATTGCACTAGTCAGATTTTTTTTCACCGAGATAATACAGAGATACAGGATTAAAAGCAGAAGGCCAGACTGAAGGACTGCACTACGGGTGTTGGCCAGACTGAAGGACCGCATGAAGGCTGTCTGTCTCTATGGTTTTGCATTGCATTTTTCATTGTCTCACTTGTGCATCTAAATCATCTTTTTCTGTAAACAAGAACAACATTTTCATTTGAAAACCTGGACGTACAAAGTGGACTTGGAATCCAAAAAAGTAATGAAAGTGAGTTATTTGACTAAAAAATCTGAAAAATGATGGATTCTAGAATCTTAAAAAAAAAAAAATACTGATCTGTATTTTTATTATCCTGCACAAGTTAACCTCATTACCAAGTTTTGAATGCTGTCTGGGGATTGGTATCTGTCTTTTGCCCAACAACTTAAACCATCTATCTATAAGTTGTCACAGAAAGGGCCAGTGCTTTTTGTAGTTGTTATCAGCCTGGACATTCTCAAACAGTATAAATAGCATTGCCCTAAAAATAGTGTACTCCTGGGCAGAACTCAAAACTCAGTTTCCATGAATATATAATTTACTTTCTCAATGACAAAGAAGACATATATCAAAATGTGTAAACTATGAAAACTTGATCATTTACCACACATCACAGAGCTCTGACTCCTGTTGACTACAGAACTTTGTATATAACTTTGTCCTACAAGTTTTCTAAAGTGGAGCTAAGTTCTGTTTTGATTCCCCACCTCTAACCCACATTTTAAAACACATGATAAGTAATAATGAATTGTCTGTGTACCCAAGATATAAGAAGCCCCTCAGGTTAATTCGTTATCTTTGAATTAATTACCTGAATAAAGTATATACAAAACCTGTTAGAAAATCGTTTCAAATTTTCCAGGAGAACTTGTTGGCATTTCTTGGAATATCTCTAAATCAATACATACATTCATGGATTTTGTTTGTTTGGAATGTAAAATAACATGATATGCAATATAATACATCAGTATGTCACATGCCCTTGATTTTTTATTATTATAATGTGAATATGTACAGCCTAAATTACCCTATATTAATATTTCCCAAGCAGTAATAATAATTTTAAGCCAACAAATTCTGCAGCAGAAAATAAAGTCTTACAACCACATCTCATAAATTCTTGCAGCAATTTACAGGCAGTACACTGACGATTAATTGAGAACCAGTAACAGTGAAAAAGCCTTCAGTTACAGCTCTGAAACTTTTTAAGAAACAGACTCTACCATTTCCATCAAAGCAACACATCTGTTCTGAAAAATAATTTGCCCAAACATGTTCCTTCCCAAGGGATTTCCTAGTCTCTTCTTCCAATTGATAAATGACAAAATAATTACTGAAATGTGAAGTTTCCTGTGGCGGAAAGCCGAGAAATCGAGGACTGAGCAGTTCTTCAGATGTCAGGATGTCAACAGGTGCAGAAGTCTCTTAATAAAGGGAATTCCATCCTCCTTTCCTCTAACAGATGCGCACACACATTGCCAAGTGCAGGCTTTTGCAGAGAAGTTTTGTCTTCTGCGGCCTCTTGTTCTTTTGTCTGTTTCCTAGAATAGAAGAGTGTGTAGTTCTTGGGAAAGTCATCTTTACACCCTCTTGCTTTTTTTTCAAAAACAGCCTGCGTAACCAGAGGCAGAGCAGCAGAATGAGGTCACGCTTCCTGTCAGGCTCACATCAGTGGTATTCACACGGAGAAGTGTGGTGAATATTTAACATAGGCTCCTGGACCACCTCCAGAGAATGTGCAGCCCCTGAGTTCAGCTGCCGGATACACTGTGATCACTAGGGAGATGCTTTTCTGAGCTGGCTCGTCCCAAGCTGCAAAAGCACAAGACAGACTTTGAGCTATGCAACACTTCTTGCTCTTCATCTTCAGTCACATTCAGTTAGGAGCAGTGTGTAGTAGTGCTCTTTGTCCAAATCACTTATGTTTATTGAGGATAATGCACTGATGCTCTAAGCTCAGAATACTATTAAATACTAAGAACTTGATTTTATGAAAATTTCTGTAGGGACAATAAGTCAGGTTCCACACAATATGTTCCAAACACTGGGTTTCCTAAAAACCTCTGTGGGTAGCATTTTACATTTTATACTTATATTTTAGTAGAGTTCAAAACCTTGATCCTGTGGGTGGGTCCCTACACCAAATAAAAGAAATATATATTCCAGCAACATTAATATAGCATTGAGTAATGAAAACGATGTGACTTTTGGAATCACACAGACTGAGAGTCAGTATTTTGTGAATGTGTGTTCACCAAAGAGAGAGAAGAGAGAGGCAACCTCTATGGAGTTTGGTCATGCTGCAATCTTTTTTTCCTTCACCATTTCTCCTTTCCTTCAGGATTTGGGGCATGCATGCACACCCACCTGGCATGTACATCAGGCTGCTGGGCCAGGACTTGAACCTCAATTGGCCACATGAAATCCAGGTCCCTATGCACCACAATTAACCAATGCACTTCCAGGCTGGCCACACAGAGACTTGGATTCAAACCACCTGTCATACGAGCTGCGTAGAATCAGGTTTTTTAGTTAACCTCTTTGAGTTGAAGTTTTTGCAATTGTAAATATAATAGTATATAGTTTACAGGATGACTTGGAGAATTAAGTGAGCTAAGAGAAATCAGTAATAATAAAGTCCTTATTTGTTTTCTCTAATTCAACTTCTCTTCTGAGGCCCCAGTTGATTAGGGTGGCAGAAAAGTAATCCTTATCCTTTCTGGACATTTTCCTTCTTCCTGAGATGGTGCCACAAGGCAGGATCTTCTGTAAAACATGCCTTTCTCAGAAGCCATCAAAGGGTCCGTCTAATTTCAAGGTTCCCTGGCTCCTGGACGACATGCTCTTGTCTAATTTCATTCTCTCAAGTGTGGGCTTGCTTATTGTGAATAGAGTAAAGCATAAGGGATGGGTTGTTGGAACAGATGGTGGCGTGGTAGATGAGGCAGCTGGATCACGCATGGCCAATTGCACAATTTAAGTCCTGGATCTGGCAGCTTGAGAAACACACTAGGCAAATGTGCATGCCCCAAATCCTGAAAAGAGGGAGAAAGGATTGCAGCATGACCATTCCTCATGGGGTTCTCCCTCTTTCTTCCTCTCTCTGGTGAGTGCACATACCTTCTAGTAAATTAAGAAAAAAAAGTGATGGGCTGACTCCACTGTGGTTAGGCTTCTGTCTTGCTGGTCTCTTTCTTACCTTCTTGGCTTGCCCTCTTTCACGAAGCAAGCTGCCATTGGCACAACCACAACCACAACCAGCAAGTGCCACAACCTACGTGACAAGGAACCAAAGGTCATCTCAAAAATACTCAACAAATAAGGAACTGAGGCTCTCAATGGCTATTGATCCAACAAGAGTTTGAGTGAGCAAGTTTGCCTGTGTGAGTTTGGAAGCAGATTCTACTCTTGTTGAGCCTTGAGAAGACAACAGCCTCAGACAACACCCTTATATCAGCTTTTTAAATACTCAGAAGCAGGGGACAGCTTAGTCCTGCCCAAGTTCTTGGCCCATGAAAACTGAGATTATAAATAGTGTTTTTAAGACACCACATTTTGGGATAATTTGTTACACAGCAATAGATAACTAATACATATATCAACATATGACCAACAAATATCACTTCTTAGGTCATCTGTCTTTTCTGACCACTTGGTCAGTGCTCTCTGCTGTTTGGCTGTCTCCTGTAGAAAGTAAATATATTTATTTGAGGATGCTTCTGGTCACATCTGCCTAGATCTACCAAATAGTCATTCTGTTCTACAGCTATTCTAGGAGTCTGGTACA